ATGATCTAAAAACATTCAATTAGCAATGATTGGAGAAATGGTTATTAGTTTTTGGCAAAAGCAGGTCCAGCCATTTCAAGAATACAGAGCTAAATGTACAAAAAACAGCAGTTTTTGAGATAAATAAACAACCGATTTGAATGATTCAAAATTAATTCTGCTTGTGTTGACAAAACAATTGCTTCAGAGAAAAAAAAATTCAATTTTTTTTAATTTCCAACATTTTTGTTGTATATCAAAAGTAATTCCATCTTAATTTTAATTCTGGCTATAGTTTTAAAGCTCACTTATATACTTAAATATGAAACTAGTGGTGTATGGAATCGCGCCTTTAGGCAAATTGCTGGAACTTTCCGTACCGTAACGAAATGTTCGAGGAATATTAAATGTTTTCAAATAGACCATTATGAATACAGTAACATTGTATAATATTTATAAGAATTATATAAAATGAATCACAAAGTAAAAAATATTTATTTAAAGTATATAGGTGAGCATTAAAGCTTTAGCCAGAATTAAAATTGAAATCAGAATTATTTTCGATATACAAAAAAAATGAAATTTTGGCCTGCTTTTGCCAAAAACTAATAGCCATTTCTCCTAATCTTTACTAATGGAATGTTTTTTAGATCATTTAAATCGGATAGTTTGTTCTCTCAAAAACTCGATTTCTATTTTCTGCACTCTTTGTTCCTTATCTCCGTATCGGCTGGACCTGCCTTTGCCAAAAACTAATTAGCACATCTCCGTATCAATAGGAATCGAATGTTTTTTGAACCATTCAAATCGGTTTATCCGTGCGCCCGAAATCGTGAACAAAAAAATGCGGACACACAAAACACACACACATCCATTTTTTCTCAAGTATGCCAAAATGTTCAGAAATCTTCAAAACGTCGAGAAATGCAAAAATTTCCTACGGGAAGTTAATAAATAATATTAGCCTTGTAATTCAGGTTATATAATTCTTATAAATATTAGACAATATTACAGTATTTGTATTAATCTAATTTGAAAACATTCATTGTTTTCGAACATTTGTTACGGTACGGGAAATTTTACCAATTTGTCTTAAGGCGCGGTGCCATATACCACTAATTTACTTTTTATATTGGATCTTCAAATCGGACGCTCGGTTATCTCAAAAACTGAATTAAAATTTCTGGCACTTTTTTGCATTACTATTTGCTAAAGGGCTTGCCCGTAGGTAAGTGGTTAAGAGCGACGGGACCTGAATCAGAGGTCCAGGGTTCGATACCCACTTCGAGCAGCCTTTTGTCAGGCAGCAGTGACAACGATTTTTACTTGGAAATATAGACAGCAATATATTTCCAAGTGAAAATATCCCTTGCCCGGCATTGCTACACCAATAAAAAAAAAGTCAGCTCTATTCGATTAAATCTAATAACAAAAAAATCATCAAATATGGATGGATTGTTATGTTAACCATTATGTTAACCATCGGTTACCATCTAAAAAATACGAAGAAAGGAGAAGTTTCAGCCCAACAGCTCATAGGACGTAAGGTTCTGATTGCTGTTAAAATATAAAAAAAACTTTTTGCCAAAAACTAATCAGCACGTCTCCTCATCAATATACGACCTGAATGTTTTTTGAATTATTCAAATCGGTTAATCCATGTTTACGAAATCGTGGACAAAAAATTGTATCCAAACATATATACACTACACACACATAAACATTTTTAAGCTATGCCAATATGTTAAGAAATCTTTGAAACGTAAAGATATATGAAAAATTTATTTTCGATTTTTTTTGCGATTACTATTACGCGAAGTTCACAAAAATATCTAAAAAGTAACAACACTAACTAAAGTAAAATTTTCCCAAAAATATTATAGATAATGAAAATACAAGGAAAATATGATGAGAGAGTAGGTCTATAAATTAACACTTTAGAAAAATGTCTATTCAAATTATCTATAGATATTATTATAGAATAATTATTATAAATTTTACCTAGCTCTGGCGGGAGTTCGGAAAAGACATATCCGATCAAGGCGATTATTAACAGAAGTTCCTTCATCTTGATTTCACCTGTCTGTATTCGTCACTAAAATATTTAGTCATTTTTTTATGTTTATATATGCAAAACTTGATAAAACTTGATAAAACTTATGCAGTAAACGAGTTAACATATTTGTTATTCAAAATCTAGGCAAAAATAATTATACGCTTATTTAAATAACAGTTTTCAATCATCAATTCAATATCAATATGAAGTAATCGGATTCAATATCGATAAAAAATATTATAATTCAAATGTTTATGAGCACAATGACTAAATTTATGGTTTATAAAAATAATATATGTAAGATCGATTTGTTAAAGTTGCATAGATTTGTCTAAAAATTACATTATGAACCTGCATTAATTTAAATAAGGATATTTGTATAATTTTGTTTTATAGAACAACACTGGCTAATAGATTATTATTAATGTATTTTAGTGTTGTGTCTTATCTTATGACAGATTTAACTTGGATATTTATCTTAATATTTATAATTCATGGATTGAGAAGTTACAAAAACAATTTTCAGTATATATGCACCTTAACATTTTTAGGGGCAGATACACTGCAACTTGTGATAATTTAAAAAATCAAGAAAATTGTCATAACAATAAAAAAAAATATTTTAAAGTTTTAGAAGTTTATCAATTCTTCATTTCATCAATACAAGTAAAATGTTTTTTGAATCATTCAAATCGGGTACTCCGTTCTCTCAAAAACTGAATCATTGCCCTTTCGGAACGTCTGCCTTCACCAAAAACTAATCAGAACGTTTTCTCATCAACAGGAATCGAATGTTTTTTGAACCTTTCAAATTGGTTGATTCGTGCGCCCGAAATGAACGAAAAATTGTATCCAAACATATACATACACACATACATCCATTTTTTTCTAAGGTATGCCAAAATGTTCAGAAACCTTCAAAACGTAAATATATGCAAAAAATTTCAGTTTTGATTTTTTGCGATTACTATAACTTACCCTACAGGAAGTTAATAAAAAAAGTAAATTAAGTTAAAAAACTATTTTACAAATATATAGTTACTCCAATTCTGCTGATGAATATTTTTATCGAAATACCAGATCAATGTTATATACAGTGTTATCTCTATAAAAAATGTACACGTGAAATTTATACTTTGCATTGTTTAAGTAATGTGGCTATTATTTATTAAATTCTCTTTAAAATTAAATAAATGATCTGTTTGCCGTCCCATTTTACGCCACCTATCGGCTAAAAAAGATCAGGTTACACATTTTTAAAAAACAGCAAAACAACACTATTTTACAATGATGAATTAGCTGGGAGTTTTACTGACCATAGTCAGATAGTTGTTTGTGTGATACGTAATATTTGTTTTGATATAATTGGATTGGTTTTCAGAATATATAGTTGCATAAGGTCAAATTGGATCTATGCGTCCCCTCCTACTCTACTACTTTAATATTCTAAAATCATATTTCTTTGGGTACGAAATTGCCAGAGATAAATATACAGAAAATGCCGTTGTTTGAAATTTGAATATTGTAACTTAGGAGAGAATTATGGACACCTAAGTGATTATCTTCTCTCGTTCAACAGTCGCCGTATTAGACTTTACCGAACTCTATCAATTACCAATAGAAGTTAATCCTTGATTTACTGTCTGAAATAATAAATGTTCCAAACATTTTTGGCAAAAACGAGTTTACCCCTGTTGATTTATTTTGCTTCAATTTTATAAACTATTTGACAATATTTTCTTGAATAAAAGAATGAATTTCTGGATGTGCTATTTTAGTAAAAACGTCCGGTTTATTTGGTTTGCCACATCCTGAGCCCCAAGAAACAATTCCAATAAGATTTCTATTTGGGTCTATCATAGGGCTTCCGCTATCGCCAGTACAAGAACCTTTTCCTCCTTTTGGAAAACCAGCGCATATCATTCTGAAATAATTAAGATTAAATTATAAGAAAAACTGCAACTGGCAATAAAATGTAATATTCTTTCGAATTTTCAAATTTATTAAAGAAACTCCATTTTGTTATATATACATACATACATATATACATACACTTCAAAAGTTGCAATAAATCATCACCATTGACCTATTTTGCTTGTTTAAACAATTTAGTGTCGAAATTGATAAATGTAGTTAATTCTATTTCTTTGAAAAATATAATTAATGATATCGCTACCTATCAGTAACCTGGTTGGGTTTTATATCTTCTGCATAATTTTCTTGGCAGATCTCATTGCTTACAATAGGAATCCATGTTTCCTGCAGGAAATATGAGTCGGGACCTCCAGCCTGCATATGTAATAATAAATTGGTTCATAATATGCTACTAAGACATTATTTTCATACTAGAAGTTTTTGAATTAGGTAATTGTTTTTTAAACCAAATTGTTACTTAATGGTTTATGATGGTATTTGATTTTTCAATTACCATAATATAAATTTTATTTTTAATTGAAAATTGAGAGAAATCGAGTTATTTTGTAATTACTTTAGAATAAATGACAAATATTAATACAATGTATGAATACTAATACGAAATATTTGAATCTTTTAACTTCCCGTAGGGTAAGTTATAGTAATCTTGAAAAAATCGAAAATGAAAATTTTTATATATCTTTACGTTTCACAGGTTTTTGAACATTTTGGCATACCTTAGAAAAAATAGATGTGTGTGTGTGTTCGGATACAAACTTTCGTCGATGATTTCGGGAACAATTTTCACCCGATTTGAATAATTCTAAAAGCATTCGATTCGTATTGATAAGGAGACGTGCTGATTAAAGTTTAAGACTAAGTTTATTAAAGACTAAGTTTTTGGCAAAGGCATGTCTAGCCGTTCCGAAGATACGGGGCAAAAAGTGCCAAAAATGGTTACTCAGTTTTTAAAAATTATTTAAATTGATAAGATGAAAAACTGATAAAATTTTTGGGAAGGCAGGTCCAGCGGTTATGGACTCTCAGTCATTTGGCAATAAAATATGTTTATTGGACATATGTACATCAAATTATCAGATATTTTATAGAGATTTTAATAATGTGTATACATAATGTGTAATTTTTTTGGGTTCCGTACCAAGATTTTTAATTACGGTACGAAAGTTCCAGCAATTTGCCTTAAGATACGATACCATGCACCATGCACTAGTTTTTCAATAGTTATGCTTGAATATTTACGGTTATACATTTAGAATTTTATGGTTATTATTCTGATTTATTTTTTTAAGTAAAACTTCTCTAGGCACAACTAGGGTGTAAATCAGAGGAAATGCAATGGAAGTGCGTTACGGCTTACTGATTCGTCGTTGGTCAAGCATGTCGTCATTTGGAACGCATATGTATCATCTCGGCAACTATGTAAATTATAAAATGTCAAATGCCAACCCTTCTACTACAACCCTACTATGTTGTCGACATCTGCATATTTGTGATCTACAACCTCAAGTAAAAATTTGACTTGATTTGATTTGATTTTTGATTTGAAAATTGCCTGATGATCGTGGCATTGAATGATCATGAATTATCATATTATTATTCAAATACCCATTATTAAGACTTTTGATACTCACTTGTTCTGCACCCCATCCTGTGACTTGGACCATTTTTCCTGGAGGTGTTTCGATGCCTTTTTCTTCAATTTTGACGGATTTACTATTACATACTGTAAACTTGATAGGTGTGTTAACACGTACCAGAGCAACATCAAAATCAAATGTTTGTTCATCGTGTTTGGGATGTCTTATAATTTTTGTGACATTATATACAACACCACCGGAGTCGTGCCTAGAGCTTCCAACACGAATTGAATAAGTATCAGCATTTCCACTGGAAAACGAATTGATATAAAACTGAGACATTTTTGAAATTCAGTGTTACTTGGAATGAAAAGAGTATAGAACAATTAATTGAATTCATTGCATTGAATATGCGACAACTGTACGAATTAATTGCGTAAGAAATAATTTAGTAAAACTTTTCTATTTTATCTTTTTACTAAACTTTCTCGAAATTTGTAAAATTAAAAATAACAATATTTTATTCAACTATATTTTTTGATAAAGTTTTCATTGGACATAGATAACAGTTTACTTTCAGACTGCATTCATAAATTAGTAATAAAATAATTTTCAAAACTTTTTGTAATATATAATAAATGTTATTATTATTGTTTATAATCAGAATATTTATAAAGAAAATTACACCAAAACACACTGAGCTGCTGTCAGTATCCAATGATTATTAATTATAGAACCACCACAAAGATGCTGATCAAATGTTTGCAATGAAACTTGCCATCCACATTTTGATATATCTATTATTTTTCCACCAGCTATTCGACCAGAATTTTTTTCCGCTGTAAAAATTTTAAAAATAAAAGATACTTACTGCATGGTCTAAAAATTATTAGAAAAAAATATTACCACTTTACCAGCAACATTTGTCAACATATACAGATCGATTAAAACCAATATTTTAAAAAAGGTTTTCATATCTTTGATAAAAATATATAATAGATAAACAAATTAACACAAGTTTGTCGTAACTGAATAATACATATTAATTATAACTAAATTGTGTAATATCTCTAATACTTGAAACTAAATTTTCATAATATGAAGTGAGATAGATAAGATATAGGAAACAATGTGGGATTTTTCGACACGAGATCAGAACATTAAAATACTCGAAAAGATAATATTAAAAGGTCGCATAATTTTTTTCAATAAAAACTATAATTAGTTGTTCAATGGTAATACTCACAATATTGGGAATTTTTGTCACAAATACATGGTCATAAGATATAAACTAATTTTACAAGCAATAAGTTCTCCGATGAAAAAACTTTGTTTCAATGTTAAAATGGATAATTTATTATTAAGTAGTAGATAACGTAACTTATATGATAACAGCGATAAGTTTCAAATACTTTATATGTTGTAAAATGTATTTTATGTGTTAATATGTCGTAAATAATATTTCAGGCTATAAATATCAGTTACATAATACCTACGACCATTGTTTTTCGGACGTATTTTCATTTTATTATATTGGCCATGAAGGCGGCAATCTTCATGGCACTGAGCTTTTACACCGGTCCGATTTGAATCGGACTTACTTTTCTTAGTTCTAAAACTAAAGTCCGCGTAGCGGTAATATATGTAATAAATAATCAATAAATATCTTCTTCAATTAGAATAAATATATCTTTCTCAATTAGAACTGTGACTAATCATTAGTGTAATAAGAACTTGCAACAAATACATTAATTATACCAACAAACCAGTATTTCATATAGTCCACATCTACAAGGGTTAAATTATAATCCAACAACCTGAGTTAATCGAAGGAGGGACTTAATTGCGTATACAATTGTTGCAATTAATAATTATTTCAGGCAACCTGACATCAAATATTAGTATTTTTTTCTTGAGGGCCAGCGGTGGCGAAATCGGTTAGATCGTGGGCTAGCACCAACTAGACCCAGGTTCGCTGGTTCGATTCCCGCTACTGCCAAGCCTGACATCAGGCAACTTTGATGTCAAATTTCCACTTGGGGTTATAGATCACAATATAATTCTAAGTGGAAATCGTCCTTCGTGGACATAGTTGTATCATACAATCATGTGCACACTATTAGACATAAGAGCTAATATATAAAAAAAACCACACATAACACACACAACAAACACATAACAAGAAGGATGAACCGAACCGGGTTGCTTCTCATATCAAGACCTTAAGGTCATAAGCCATACACAAAAACAGCTTATAGAACAATAATAAAAAGTTCTGATTGCTGTGGAAACAATAAAAAAAAATCTTTGAAAAATATAGATCTAAAATATGTTTATAAATTAAAACTATATCATCAGTACCAGTCAAATTTTGATAATAAAAATATATTTAATGTAGATAGGCCAACCATTGGGTGGCCTTTTAAGTAGTGCGCCACGTACTTAAGGAAATCTCACAATAGTTCATGTAACTTACAAGTTTTGATTTCTATTTAAAAAAAACAGAAGGCATTGTTTTTGCTATTTTACTATAATGAAAAATGATAAAGAACAGATATGCAATTGCTATAAATTGTAATTTTAAATCGATTTTTGACCTTATGTCGACGTTTTCTAATAAACGGCTGGACCGATGTTAAAAACTTAAATTTTATTCGATGTATCTCGATAAAAAGACTATTGTTGGTCAGTTTTACGACCATCGACTATCGTCGTTTTTTTGTAATTGGCAGAAAAGAGTGAAATATTTCCACGTCCACGTTGTAGGCCACAATCTCAAATCGATTTTAAAAATTCAAAAACTGTTCGAAAGTTATTGGCTGGAAATCACACGAGATCAGAATATTAAAATGTTACATAGATTAGTTTTTCATAAAGATCGGCCGGGCCGTTTCTTTGTAATTCAACATTGAAAATAACTTTTTTGACAATTTCAATGAAATTTTGTTAACAATGGATTTTGTTGTCGGAAATAACATACAAAAATATTATAAGACCACGATAAGGTTGAATTATAAAAATCCATCAGAGTTTAGAATTTTTACTCGTTTATGATCGCTTCTAAGAAGAATCTAAGCCGAAGATATGTACGTTCTGTGGTATTTCATAGGTAGCTACTGATTACAGTTTACGCATGGACTCAAAATACAATTTTAGAACCCAAAATAGATGAAACAAATTACTTCAATTTATTCAATTTCAGACATAAGTACGATTCAAAGATATCAATAGAAAATCATTTATAAAGAAAGAGAAATCTTTGGTTTAGATGTAAATAGTTGAACATTTTGTCTAATTAGCAAATACTAATTTTTGTAGATAAAGCCATTTATTTACACGTTTAGGAGAAGTACATGCAACTTGCCTTGAGGCAAAATGCTACTTACAACTAGTTTCATTTTGTATTTTTTTATTAACCTCTTCAATTTTCCACTATATGATTTCAATGTTCTGAGTGATATCAACATAAAATTCAATTCTCATATTGCATGACATGATACAACTTAAGATCAGTGAATTACACAATTTTGAAGAAATTCGTTTACATATTCATTTTAGAACTAATAATTATTGATATTATATATTTGTATGGCTTTTTATGAATTGTCTTATTTTTGGAGCAGCAATATTTGTATACACTCCAGGTTTTTTAGGTTTCGCACAACCATTTCCCCACGAAACGATACCGATCAGTACTCTGCCCTCATTCACTAATGGTCCCCCACTATCACCTATGCAAGCGTCCATTCCGCCATCAGGATAACCAGCACATATCATGCTGAAAATAAATCATAAATAAAAGGATTAATTTAAAAGGTTTCTCTCATCAATAATGAAGTTATAAACTATGCTTGGGGGCACTTTAAGAATCTAATAAATTATAAGTAAAAACAGATTTCTTTCATTAACTTCCCGAAGGAGAAGTTTGTTTTCGTCAAAAAATCCGATTTGCTAATTTTATGTTTTCTCGACGTTTCAAGCCATTCTGAATCGAATGAGACCAAATTTGGAAAAAATATATGTATGTGTGTGTGAACATATTTTTGACGTTTTTTCGATGTTTTCACAACATTGACCGACCAGGAAACGGCTGGACCAATTTCAAAAAATTAAAAGCTAGACAAGCACTCGCATTGGTTAGATTTTTTATATAATCGGCTGAGCGATTTCTTTGTAATTAGCAGAAAAGTAAAAAATTTTCAGTCCACGTTTCAGGCAAAAATTCTGAATCAATTTTAAAGAAAATTCAATTGGAAAACGCAATTGTAAGATTTTTTTTATATAATTTTTGAACAGCAATCAGAACCTAATAGTTCTAGAAGCTGTTGTACTGATTTGACCATGATTTTGACTTAATACTAGTCTGTTTGACAGATGGCAACCCAATCTTAACTGCTTACCTACGGGCGAGCCCAAGATTTAATTGATAGCGAAAACTTTATTTTCGAAATAAATAGCTATCTAACTATCTCAATCTCAAATTCGGTTGATTAAGTCAATTATTTCGCAAAGTCTGTGCAATTTGCCTTAAGGCAAAATGTCACTTTTCACTAGTTGTTTTGGTATTGAACAATACGAAAAAAAAGAACAGTTGATAAATATGCTCAATGTATTAGAAATTATTAGCGACCTATTCTCAGTATTTCTAATACTAAACATTTCTTAGTCTACAAGCTGTCTTAATAATAAGTTTGCATGTATATGTATGTATAGATACATTTGTAGATATCTAAATCCCAAGTGTGCACCTAAAATTATGTATTCCTATATATATGCATTTAGATATTAGGGCGTGTCGAATTAAAGGTCACTTAGGCACATATGATTTTCGGATTTTAAGGATCAAAATCAGATACTTTTCTCAAGAAACCATATCTCTAAAATGAATTTTGAAGCCCCGTGCATTGACCCAAAGGTAAGTGTTAGATTTTGAAAAACCTTTCAGGGGGGGGTCTCAGGAGGTAAACGACGGGCATGGGTGGATCGGCCTTGCAAAGTTAGTGGGTGTCGGTCATACATTTGGACGCATACATTTTGGGGTACTCTAATTGTGCCAAAATGGAATTTTTCAAATTTTAACCCTTATATTTGGATCAGGACACGGGACTTCAGAACTCATTTTAAAGATATAGTTTCATCAGCAAAGTATCTAATTTTGATCCTTAGTATCCGAAAATCATATGTGCCTATGCAACTTTTTTTGACCCATACAAATCGACTCGCACTAATAAGAATAAATAACAAATTTATTATGCCGTATAACGTTAATTACCACTACCCACAATTAAAACTTACTTATCTGTTATTCCATTGCTGGTTGAATAATATTCATCACATTTTTCTTTATTAATATATGGTACATTAACGCTTCTCAACTCTGTTGTGATATCTCCACCAGTCTATAAAAAACAAATAATTTAAATGAATTAAACATAATAAATTAATACTTTTGACATATATTGTAATCGCTTTTATACTGCGGTACTAAGGGCTACTTACAAAAGGGGTAACTCGTAACAGGAGTTTTTTGATATGATATTGAAATATTTGTCTCCATTGGACATGTAATATAAACCTTTGTGCGTAATATTGTTGTAACTACTGTTTCGAAGAATGTGGCAATAAACTGAAGTGTGCAGGTCCGTCATTTTTGACAAGTAATATAAAATTTTGCTACCATAAAATTTTGGTTTGTCTTATTATTGTTGACTAATTTTAAGTTTTATATGTCATCAAATTTATCAATTTTTCATAATTTAACAGTTTTTCTGGTTGCTAAATTGTATAGATAGTTACCTCGATTAATGTAAAAAAATCACATCTGCGGTTAGTTGAAACAAAACCTTGGGGCTAGTTACAACATACAAGAATTATATACAGCTTTGATTAAAGAAGATTGGATGGAATGTATAGTTTGTGAAATGTAGGTATAAGTAAATTATTTTACAGGAGACACTATTTCTATCATACATAA